AAACCCTAAACCCCATACTCTAAACCCTAAACCCTAACCTTAAACCCCAAACCCTAAACCCTAAACCACCAGGCCCAAGGCGTCACGCAGGTCGCCAATCCCGAACTCCTTGACCATGAAGCTGAGGTCGGCCTGGGTTTAGGGTTTAGGGGTTCAGGGTTTAGGGTTTTAGGGTTTAGGGTTTAGGGGTTTAGGGTTTGCGCGTTTCGATTGGCTTCTTTAGGCTCTTTTTGTGAGGGTGGGGTGGGGTTTATCGTAGGGGTTTAAGGTTTGGGGGGGATTCCAAACGGGAGTTCATGTAGAGCGTTTATAGGATTTTTTGCCTATCCTTGCAGGGTTTATGGGGCTTTAGCATGCTCTTTGGTCTCTCATAATCTAAACCCCTAAACCCTAAAGCCTAAACCCTAAACCCTAAATAATAAGGGACCATGAGACTCAGGATCTGGTCAGCGCTTCAGGAGTCTAGGAGGGGCTCTTGGATTTGGGGTTTAGGGTTTAGGGGGTTTAGGGTTTAAGGTTTAGGGTTCAGGGCTTAGGGTTCAGGGCTCTTGGATTTGGGGTTTAGGGTTTAGGGATCCATGGTGAGGTTTTATGGATTTGTTTGAGGGTTTTCGGGTTTCACGGCTTCGGGCCAAAGGATAGGGTTTGGGGCTTTAGGGTCTACGGTTTAGGGTTTAGGGTTTAGGGTTTAGGGTTTAGGGTCTAGGGTAAGGCTATGCAGGATTTCAAGGCTCGGGGTGTAACTAGAGTCCCGTATACAAGCGCTTTCTACAGAATTGGTTGTGATTGTTGGTCCAGAATGTTGATGAAGCACATGGCCATGGATAATGCAGAAACCTGTTTTCAGCAGTAGTTCGCGCACCTTGCGTCAGCCGAAGGTTGAAGGGGTTTCCCATCTAACAATTTCGATAAACGCGCCTTACAGATTGGAACAGGGTTTTCGAGTATAGTATAGTATAGTATAGTATAGTTTAGTTTAGTCTAGTATAGTATAGTATAGTTTTTTAGTTATAGTACAGTAAACTATAGTATAGCTTTACAGTCTAACCATTTCTGGAAAGCTATTGTTCACTACTTTGGCCCCTGTACCCCTAGAAGGGACCCCTAATCCAAATACCCTATATAACCCTTATATACCCTCCTAAACCCTAAACCCTAAACCCTACAAAACCCTAAGGGTCCCTTTAAGAGTCCCTCCTTTAGTCCCCTGCCCTTACAATCCGGAAGCCTTCAAGGCGACACGGGCGCGCCTCGAGAGCCGATTTTGAGCCATTCGAAGAGTTTCAGACTTTGTGGGTGTCCGACTCAATACCCTAAGCCCACATTTAACTTATACGAAAGACTATAGCCAAGGAGCCCCAAAACCTAAACCCTAAGCCCTAAACCCTGAAGTTCAGGAGCCCTAAACCCTAAACCTTAAGCCCAGAACCGACGGGGCCCTTTAAGGACGGCCTGGGGGTCCTTCTGGATCATGTCCAGTGCCTGCTCCGCCTGAGTCTGGAGCTCTAGGACCTGAGAGCTTGTTTAGGGTTTAGGGTTTAGGGTTTAGGGTTTAGGGGTTAGGGTTTAGGGTTTAGGGTTTAGGGTTTAGGGTTTAGGGGTTTAGGGTTTAGGGTTTAGTTTAAAGTAAGGCGTAGTTTAGGGTTTAGGGCTTCAGGGTTTCGGCATTCTGAGTTGTGGGTGGGTTAGGGTCGGGTTTACGGTGTTGGAATTTAGGGTATGAATTTCAGTGCGAATGGTTTGGAGCCCTAAACCCTAAACCCTAATGGAGTATATAGGATTTGGTAGGGTCGGGGTCGTCGGGTTCCCGGGCTTCTCGTTTCATTCAGATTTTTTGAGACAACCCTCAGGGTTTAGGGTTTAGGGTTTAGGGCACAAAATCCGCTCCTACCGTAATTAAAAAACCACGGTTGAGGGTAGAGGGCTGGCTGAAATCCTGCAAGTCTGCTGTAGCTT